GATTTTTTGAGGATGTCCCGAGCGAAACGGCCGTTTTTGGGCATTGACAGAAGCATTTTGGGAAATTCGCGGGTGGCCGGCGGGACGGGCCGAAGCCCACTGGGGAGTTCTTTTAGAAAAAGAACCAAAACCAAAACCTGAATCATCCAGCACGCCGTGCACCCCTGCAAGCAGGGGGCGGCGGATCCTAGTGGCCTTCGGCCCATCCCGCCACCGTGCCTGGGTTGTGGGTATGGAGCCTCTTGTATATGCGTTGGGATGTCTTGGGGTGCCTTTCGAGGGTTTCTTGGAGTCGGTTTGGCGCCTCTTGGCGGCCTCTCGAGGCCTCCTGGGAGTTTCTCGGGGCACAAATATCGAATATTCGGTTCGTGGTCCCTTGCTTGGGCCCCTCTTGGGGTCGTCTTGGGGCCCTTTTGGGCCGTCTTGAGCACTTGTTGGACAATCTTGGAGCCCTCTTGAGCCGACTTGGGGCCCTGTTGGGGGCGTCTTGGGCTGTCTTGGGGCGGTTTCGGGAGCTTCTTGAGCCGCCGTCTAGGAGCGTCGGAAAGCCGAAAATACGAGAAGGCCAAAATCCTTCAAAAACCGTCGTAGAATCTACGAGTTTGGCCTCCTGGGGCTCTCTCGGGAGGCCTCGTGGAGCGTTTTGGGAGCCTCTTTGGGCCCTCTTGGGCTGTCTTGGAACCATCTTCGGGCGCCATGGAGCAACCTTAGCCCCAGCAATGCGAACATGGTTTAAGTTGCAAAGGTGTATGGCTTCGGGGACCAAAACATGTTGTAATGTACTAGGGTTTGTTACTTCGGAGACGCGAATACCGTGTAAGTTACGAAGGTTTGTTGCCTCGGGGACGCCGGAATGACGTAATTGACCCGGCCGGGTGTGTAGTTTCGGGGACGCGAACTGTGTATAATTTACTCACGTATGTTTTCGTGTCCCACACCCCCCATGAATTCAGAGAACGCGATCCGGGCGTGGTACATTGGATGGTTTGGCCCCCCCCCTCGCGTGGACTTCAACAATTTACAATAGGAAGCAGAAAGCAGGATTGTAACTTTGGAGACTTGAAACTGCAACTGGTGCAAGGAGCAGCACACTTCGGCCTACAGCCTGATGGCCCCACAATTGGGCTGGCGGATTGCAAGATTGCAGTTTGATATAAATGGTTGCACGTCTGGGGCAATATCTAGCAGGGATAAAGTTGCCGCTGCCGGTTGGGTTGGCATGGTGTGATTTCATATGGCAAATCGAACGATGGCAAGACCCGATGTCAATTACATTGTCCCAGGGAGTTTTGATAACGCCATGTTGGCGGAGGGCGGTCGAGTTCATTTGTTCTTGAGAGGAAAATAGTGTTGTGGGGTCAGCTGTGCGGCCCAAGCTATGCGTTACAACCTGTATAGCGCAAGCCATGTAGTGCAAACGAGGTGGTGCAAGCTACGTGGTGTAACCTATGTGGTGTAGTCTGTGTGGTGTAAGGCATGCTGTGCAAGCTACGTGGCGCAAGCTCTGTGGCAAAGTCTATGTAGTGTCTAGCGAATGTTTGCATAAGTTGAGGTCGCTAACTCCATCGATCGTGCAAACATCCCACCCACCCAACCGCACTTGGGTTAGCAGAACACATTCGGCCACGATTGCGTTTCCCGATTGGGACTTGTTAGCGCGTCTCTACGGCCGCGCTGGCGCGCTCACGCTCGCGTGCAGATGGACCAGCTTGCTTGGCACATTTGATGCGACCTTTATGGCGCTTACCAGTGGGAGCCCCAGGCGCGTCTCCAAAGCCGCGCGGGCGGGCGGGCGCTCCATTGCGGGTCGGTGGTCTGGGCGGTCGCGATATCATGATGACATCGACAGAGGCGGCAACGATGATAATAATAGCGGTGGTACTGGCGACGACGACGACGGCAAGGCCAATGACGGCACCGATGCTGGTGATGACGATGACGATGATGAGATTCATGCGTCGGTGATGCAAGCGATTATCATGATGATGGCGGCAATGGCGAAGATTCACGATAACGAAACCAATGGTGATGCGATGGTGTTGATGGGGGGTCTTAGGAAGTGCGCCCGCACAGAGCTCAAGAAAAATATGTTTCATCTGTCTTTGAAGAGTATTTTTGTGAATTGACTCGGGTACGAAAGGTGTTGGGCGGTTTCCGATTCGCATCGACTCGGATACGCAAAGTTTTCGACGGATTTCGACACGCGCGCGTGGCGGCGCGCGCATGAGGCCCGCATGGTGTTATTCGATGTGGATTGGTGCGTTGGGCATACGTTGATCCCCAACGCGGGCGCACCGCGTGGTGAAATGAGAACGCGGCTTGTGTACGAGATCCCCAAAGTCATACGTTTTCCGTATAGTTTCCATATGTACGCGCGGGCAGAAAATCGGCAATACGCGTGTTGAAAATACGTTGTTGTTCAAATTCGGCTTGCTGATATTCGTGCAAAGCGAATGTGTCTGGTGTTCGACATGTGCGCACGCGTGTGGATTTTGTTGTTTTGTTGTTGTGCTGCTGCAAGGGTTTAACAGAAAAATTGCATTTTAAGATGCCAAAGCTCTCGCGCATGATATTACTTGACAAAGGATGGCGGGGGGGACGATACCAGCCTGGCTGGAATGGTGTGAATTCTTTTGGGAAAACCAGCGATGAGGCAAAATGTCATGCAAATTGGCGCTACCCCAGAGGGGTGGCGATAAGTTCGGGCTCGGGAGGCGTCGGGATGGTGGTAGGGCCTGTTCTTTTTGGGAAACTAGAATCTGCGCGACCGCCCAACTTACGAGGTGCCCACGAGACGCCCACGGGCGGGCGGGCAACAGGCGAAACTGCACACCACAACCCACGAGGCGGGCACCAGGCGAAACCCCGGCACACCCACCCAGCGCACGAGGCGCCCGCGAGCGCACTCCCTCGGGCGGGCACCAGGCGAAACTTCCGTTCACCCGGCACAACCCAGCGCACGAGGCCCCAACGGGCTGGCACTGGGCGTAATTGTAGCACACCCGCCCAGCGCAAGAGGCGGCCACGAGCGCCACCGAGCGGGCACCGGACGAAATTTCGGCACACCCACCCTGCACGCGAGGCGCCCATGAGGCGTTCACGGGCGGGCACTGGGCGAAACCTCGGCACAACCATCCAGCGCACGAGGCGCACACCGGCGGGCACCAGGCGAAACCTCGGCACACCCACCCAGCGCACGAGGCGCCGACGAAGCGCCCACGAGCGCCCAGGCGAAACCTCGACACACCCACCCAACGCACGAGGCGCCCACGAAGCGCTCACGGGCGGGCACTGGGCGAAACCTCGGCGCACCCACCCAACATGAGGCGCCCACGGGCGCTCACCGATTAGGCACCAGCCGAGACACCTCTCTTAGGTAAGCGAAGCAAGAACCCCTAAGTGCAAGCACTGTTTGAGGAATGCGCGCGGCGCTGAGGCGAGAGCCACATTTTGAAAATGACCCCCGCACCAGGTAGCGCAACATGCTAAAAACGAATATACACGGCGCTTCGGCGATGGCCACATTTTGCCAAGGAGCCGGCATCCATCCTTCACGTCGTTGCTGTTCTTGCTGAACGAATGTGCGTGACGTTGAGGCGAGAGCGAGAGCCCCAATGCCGTCTTCCATCCTCGTAAGTGTGAGCGGCGCTGAGGCGAGAGCCCCATTTTGAAAACGTCCTGTGTTCCATCCTTGTAGCTGTTGCATGTGCGCGGCGCTAAGGCGAGAGCCCCATTTTGAAATCGGCTCCCCCCCTCGCCATTGAAGTTGCTGCAAGCTGTCATAATGAACGCGCGCGTTGCGAAGGCAAGAGCCCCAATTTGAAAACTGCGAGTTTCAGGCTCAAGAGCCATAGAAATTGCGTCGAAGTCTCAGGCGAAACGCCTAGCCCGCCCTGTTGACACGTTTGTAGGGGTAACAGGGATAAGTTAGTTACAATGACATAGGTGAAGGAGTGGGGAGAGGAGGGTGAGGGGGACGGAGAGGGGAAATTGGAGGCGTAGCAGGAAGATCAGGCGGCGGAGGAGGGAGGAGGGCTTTTGTCCGCGACGACACGGAAGCGGCCGCTCCCCCGCCCGCCCAGACGACCCAGCCGAAAGCGCCGTGCACGCCCGCCTGCTGGCCAGGCAGCCAGCCGCCGCGGCGGCGGGCGCGTGGGGGTTGCGCGCCGCGTGTCTAGCAAGAAGAGAAGATCACGAGCTGCGACGCTGCCGCCCTTCAGCCAGACAGCCAAACGTTTCCCCTCCTTTTCTCCTCCTCCTCCTCCTCCTCCTCCTCCTCCTCCTCCTCCTCCTCCTCCTCCTCCTCCTCCTCTTGCTCCTCTTCCTCCCTCGTCCTCCTTCTCCTCCTCCTCCTCCTCCTCCTCCTCCCTCGACCTCCTCCTCCCTCCTCCTCCTCCTCATCCTCCTTCTCCTCCTCATCATCATCATCAGCATCATCATCATCACATCATCACATCATCATCATCATCATCACATCATCAGCAGCAGCAGCAGCATCATCATCAAGCATCATCATCATCAGCAGCCATCCTCATCCGCATCCTCCTCCTCTTCCTCCTCCTGCCCTCCTCTCCTCCTCCTCCCCTCCTCGTCCTCCTCCTCCTCCCTCCTCCTCCTCCTCCTCCTCCTCCTCCTCCTCCTCCTCCTCCTCCTCCTCCTCCTCCTCCTCCTCCTCCTCCTCCTCCTCCTCCCTCCTCGTCCCCGCCTTTCCTCCTCCTCCTCCTCCTCCTCCTCCTCCTCCTCCTCCTCCTCCTCCTCCTCCTCTCCTCCGCACCTTTCATTATCCTCCCTCCCATCCTCCTCCCTCACCCTCCTCCATTTCAACAGAGCGCGTTGCGCGAGCGTTCGTGGCAAGAGGACGGCCTCGTTCTCATTGTCATCGTCGTCGGCATTCTTCTCGTCGTCCCTGTCGTCCTAGTTCTCGTCGTTCTCTCCCTGGTCCTGGTCCTCCTTGTCGTCCTGGTCCTCCTGGACCTCGTCCTGGTCCTCGTCGTCCTCAGCCTCCTTCATCGGCACCGTGTTCGGGTTTAACCCGAAGATCCCCGGGCACGACGCTGGCGAGTTTGGTCACAACGACTTCTACCCCGTGGTGGTCGCGGCGGCGCAGGTGACGGGGAACGTCGACGGCAAGAAGGCGCTGCTCGCCATGGTTTGCCTTGACGAGATCCGCGGACGCCTCGCGGAAGTCTTCAGCCTGAAGAGTTACAAGATCGACCACGTCGTTCACGGTGCCATCGCCTCCGCGGCCGTGTACGGTGCCCTTCTGGGTGCCTCGGCCGAAGAGATCGAGAGCGCCATCGGCATGGTCATCGCGCACTACATCCCATTCAGAGCCATCCGTGCGGGCAAGCAGCTCTCTGACTCGAAGGGCGCGTCCGCCGCGATCTCCACTGAGGCAGCCGTGCTGTCCATGCGCCGTGCAATGCGCGGCTTCGTGGGCCCACGGGACATCTTCCGCAATCCAGAGGCCGTCTCCTGTTGGAGGGAAATCGCTTTCGGAGGAGAGATGATGAGGACGCCGAGATCCTGAAGAGACAGATTGAGACGTACCCTACCTATTCGCAGCAAGTGACAACATTCGCTACATAGAAATCCGTTGCGCTGAAAACTTCCTGGGACCGATGCGAGGCATCGCTGGCAAAAGGAGGAGGAAGGAGCATCAGAAAGGAGGGGCAACAAAAACATGGGGCGAGGGCGAGGGCGAGGAGGACATGTGGCACGGCATGATGGGCGTGGGCGAAGGGATGCGCTGTGATGGTGGTCGCACTCTTTCTCGTAGCAGCACTCGTGCAGGAACGTGTCCGGATGGCAACGTCCTCCGTGCGGTGAGCGCGCGCCCCCGCCAGGGCGTGCAGAGCACACCTGGGGAGCCGGCAGCTCCTCGGGCGGCTCCGTCGCCTGGCCGCTGGCCGTGCCGGAGCCCTATAGCGATGCCGAGCTGGCCCGCCAGCTTCACGGCCTCGCTCCTGCACCTTTGCCGTGCGGGGGCAGAGCGGCCACAGCGCGCCACCGGGTCCGCGGCCGGCCCCCCTTGGGAGAGAGAAGAGCCGTGCCTGGGTGACGGAAAGCGGGCAGGTTGTTCGAGGTCGTCGCCCTGGACGGCATGACGTCCAGGTGCAGGTGGAACTTCTGTAGCCGGCGTCGACGGTGACCCCATCGAGCATGGTCCGGCTCTGGCAGGCGCGTGGCTGCTCTAGCCCAACGGACCCTCTCACGGGCTCACGAGAGTGACAACACTTGCGCAGCTGGTAGCACCCAGGGAAGCCACGTCCTGCGTGGACTCGAGTAGAACCGCACCCCGCTGGACCTCACATCGGCTCACGGACAGTGGCGACAGTTGCGCTGCTGACACCACCCAGGGAGGCGAGGTCTGCTCTGGGCCCGAACAAGACCGCTCTCCGCAGGACCCGCCACGAGCTCACGAAAGCGGCGACCCCTGCTCAGCTGGCACCAATCGGGGAGGCAAGCTCTGAATTGTGACAGGATAAAGAATAAGACCGCACCCCGCTGGACCCCCGCAGCCACGCCAAGATGGCGACAGTTGCACACGTGGCGCCACCCAGGAGAGCAGCATTTTGCTTTGGCCCGATAATATCCGCACCCCGCTGGGCCCCCGCTAGCACGCAACAGTCGCAATTGGCGGCGCATGGCGGCCTCCAGGGCGGCGAGGCAGGGGACGGGCAGGAGTAGTGAAAAGGTAAGGATGCAGGAGGAAGGGAGGGGAGCCGGAGAAGAAGAGAGGAATAACAGTGCTTTATTCAAAACGGGCACGCAACATTGGAGAGTTGAGGTCAAACGCCGCGGCTTTCGGCGCCACCTATCCGCTACACTTCTCGTCCCAAGGACCAGGCTCGGGGGTCCCAGGATTCGACACGAAACGAAACTGCCAGTCGTGAGATTTTCACGACGCCCAGATATGAGGGGACGAGCAGGTAGAGTCCGCCCCCTTCCAAAAATTGGAGGCCATCTTCCGCTTCTTTGAGCCCACCACCGGCACCACAAAGAGCAAGGACGGCGTGGGGCGCCACCCATGGTAACTTCCCGCGCCCAGCTCCTTCCAGCGACGAGCGCATGACCGCCTCGTCACCACTCCTCCCCATCATCATCCTCATTCCTGCACCTCCTCGCCCCCCTCTCTACGCTCAGCTATTCCTTCTCCGTCCTCCTCCCCCTGCTGCTGCTGCTGCTGCTGCTGCTGCTGCTGCTGCTGCTGCTGCTGCTGATCCTCCTCAAGGACAACGTGGACATCACCCTCGGCAATAAGGTGCGTTGGGGAGTGGGCCCGAGCCCCTTCAACCTGGTCCTGTCGCACTCCGGCGACGATTTCGCGGTCATGGGCATGCACTTCAAGCTCGGCCTCTACGAGCACCAGTCGGCGGGCGCGCTGGAGGGCCTCCTCACGGCACTGGTGAACAACCCAGAGCTCAGCGCTGGAGGCGTGGCGACCACCGAGAGCAGCGAGAGGAGGAGGAAAAGGAAGAGGAGGAGGACGAGGACGAGGAGAAGAATGGAGGAGGAGGAGGAGGAGGAGGAGGAGGAGGAGGAGGAGGAGGGTAAAGAAGGAAGAAGGGGCGTGAGAGGTAGAAGCTGTGGCCCGGAGGCGCCGCGAGCATCGAGAATATCAACATCGTCGCGTACGAGCCCGCCTACGGAATCATTGGTGACCCTGCCAAGAAGGACCTCTTCCGCCTCCCCCTTCCCCTTTTCCTTATGAATAATTTCTTCCTGTCGCACCCCAAGACGTGTCGGTAAGGCGGGCCAGGCGTTTCGCTTCAGATTTCCTCACCATCTATGCCTCTGAAGCTTCACATTGCAACAACTTCACGGATGGAGGGTGGGTCGTTTTCCAAATGTGGTTCTCGCCTTGTCGCCGCGAACATTCGTTCCAAAAGTTTGCAAGAGTTTCCCGGATGGAGGGCGGGTGATTTCAAGATGTGGCCTTCACTTCAGCGCCGTGCATATTTACATTCCAAGCTCGCAAGAGCTTCACGGATGGAGGGCGCGCCGTTTTCAAAGTGTGGCTCTCGCTTCAGCACCGCATACATTAGTTTAAAGCTTTCGTGTAAGGCCTTCACGGATGGAGGCCTGTTGGTCTTCAGAATGTTGTTCTCGTGTTAGCTCTGCGCATACTCGTTTCAAACTTTGCAGGAGCATCACGGATGGATGGCAGCTGGTCTTCAAGATGTGGCTCTCGCTTTAACGTTGTGTACATTCGCTGCAAAATATCACTGACGTTTTACAGATGGAGAGGTGCTATGTTTCAAAGGGCGATCCTCGCGTTAGCGCCGCGCACGTGAGTCTTAAAAGTTCGCGAGAGCTTCACGGGTGAAGGGCGGGTGGTTTTTTCAAGATGGTTCTCGCTTCAGCGCCGCGCACATTCGTGTCAAAATGCTGCAGTGGTTTTGTGAATGGAGGGCGGGTAGGGCTGCCAGGGCGCAACAGTCACGTTGATTCTCGTGGTTGACCTCCCAAGAATGGTGCTCTGGCAGGATGCAGGATCGACAGGACGCAACAGTAAAGTTGATTCGCGGCGTTGAGGTCAAAGAGGTGTGTTTTGGCACGGTTTGAAGATTCTCAGGCGATTGTCTTCCAACGGGCACCTTCCAGCAGTGAAAATAAATTGTTAGGGACCTACGACATGGAAACTTAGAGGGAGGACTTATTGCAACATCGTTGCAGCGTCTTGAATTTACACTGGTCCTCTTTTTCGCCTCCTCCTCCTCCTTCTCTTCCTCGTTGCCCGCCTCAAGCAGCTTCGGTGGCACGGCGGGCCAGGCCTGGCCGCCCTGGCGTAAGGCGGATTCGGGACTTTCTCCTCAACACGTGCGCTCCTCCTCCTCCTCCTCCTCCTCCTCCTCCTCCTCCTACTACTACTACTACTACTATTACTACTACTACTACTACTACTACTACTACTACTACTACTACTACTACTACTACTACTACTACTACTACTACTACTACTACTACTACTACTACTACTACTACTACCTACTACCTACTACCTACTACCTACTACTACTACCTACCTACTACTACTACCTACTACTACTACTATCTACTACCTACTACTACTACTACTACTACTACTACTACTACTACTACTACTACTACTACTACTACTACTACTACTACTACTACTACTACTACTACTACTACTACTACTACTACTACTACTACTACTACTACTACTACTACTACTACTACTACTACTACTACTACTACTACTACTACTACTACTACTACTACTACTACTACTACTACTACTACTACTACTACTACTACTACTACTCTTCCTCCTCCTCCTCCTCCTCTTCCTCCTCCTCCTCCTCATTCTCCTTCTTCTCCTCCTCCTCCCCCGCGTTCTCTCACCTCCGCACTGCCCGGTTCACAAACAGCGCCGCTGACAATCACAAAATTGACCCCCGCCGCAGGCGGTCGCCGCGCCGAGAAAAGCCACTGCAGCGCAGGGTGTCCGTCGTACGGTCGGGGACCTTCGGATAGCGTGTCGCTCAGCCGGTTCTAGCCCACCGCGCTTTGGAGCGGCACGCTATCCACTTCGACTTCGCGGTCCCGAGGTGTCAACGTCCCGAGCCTTTCCGAGCCTCTCACCCCGCAGAGCGCAGCGACACGCTATCCACTCGCAAGGCATAGCGTCTTGCCAGGGCCGCCGGGGCGACACGCCATCCAAAAGTTCCCGACCGTAGAGGATGGCCCCCCGGCCGATTGCTACCCAGCGCAGGGTGGCCGTTGTAGATGATGGACCTGCAGCTGGTCATGGACCGTGGAGCCGGCTGGGGGTCTGAGGTGGCCCAGCCGTGCTTCCAGCCAGCAAGGAGGGGCGGGCAGGTTCGAGGCGCTGTGCTCGGGAAGGCTCTTTGCCGTTTTCGGCCTCCGGGTTCTGTCAGAGGCGACAATAGGGGCGAATAGCCCAAGGGAGAGCAATACATGTATTCAGGTGCGCCGATGATCTATGTCTTCGAAAAGGCTCCCGGGCGAATGCGTGGAATGCCCGCCCCTGGGCTATTCGCCCCCCTCGTCGCAACCGAGTCCGTGTTCAAGCCCCGGGATGCTGAAAAACGGATCCATGGTGAGAAGTTTCACCAGGTGTACCCCGGGCGGGATCTGGGGACCGAGTTTGAGCGGACTCGGCCCCCCCCTCTCCTGACCCTGGGGCCCCGAACAGTGCAGCCCCCCGGCCGCCTCCCAAGACCTGCAGCTGGCACTGCGTCACGTTCGGGGCACCCGCGGGATGTGTGCCCTGTGGCCCGGCTTCGCTCCGCGGCGCACCCGTGGCTGCGTAACTTGCACTCGTGCTGCTCGATTTCCAGCGCGCACTGCCTCTTCGGAGTCGTTCGTTGCTGTGGGAAGCACACGCGTTACGACACGCAGGAATCGAGCACACATCTTTTCGGCCGTGGCTGCTGCCTTGCAACTGATGACAAGCGCATGCGTTAGTCCCACTGGGGACGTCGATTTCTACAGCTCGGATCAAATACGTCGTTGCTGGACGGGCAGATCATCGGTCACCTGAAGCTGACCACCAGCTACGTCACACACTGCACACCCCTGGCAAGATCACTTGCCTGCTGCCGAAGATCCGACCTTCACATTGCATTCATGCTCGCTTGGACGCATTGTGGCGCCGCTGGTACGGTGCACGTCACGAGCGTTGGCGGCTAGCTACTCGTGCTTGGAGGCCGGCTACTCACGAGTGCAAAAGCCGCGGTTGCGAAAGCGCATTGCACAGTGATGCTATTGACTTGCGTCGAGAGAGTCTCCACCACTGTTTCTCCAGTTTCTCGGCGGAGGGCCCGATCACGGCGTCCACGCCGTTACCGTGTTTGTTCGTCTTCTGCGCCGCGGTTCCCCTCCTCCTGGTGACCACGCCCACGGCAGGTTCGCATCGTGTCGACAAGCGGCGACCCCGCCGCCGGCGTTCAACGTTGAACGCCGCCAGCGACCCAGGATCAGTCGATGTTGAACGACCTGACGTTTCGGAAACGGCCGATCGTTCAAGGTTTAGCGGTCCCCGCGGTGTCAGAAAGCAGCGCCAGGGTCGACACGACACGAACCCGCCGCAACACGTCGTTCAGACCAACTCCGCACTCCGCTTCAAAATCATGCTGCAGGCGCGGGCGACGTTGACCGTGCTGACCCTGCTCGTGATGATGCGCCTGCCGGGCGGGGGAAGCACACGCCTCAGCACAGCGCGCGCGTGCTCTGTCGGGTGGCTGCCCCGAACTTTGCGGCGGCCCCCCGGCTGGGTCACTTCGGAAATCAGCGCAGATGCCCCGAAACAGCTTCGCCAGTCCAGTGCTGCGGGAATGCAGCATTGGACTGGCGAAGCTGCGCCGCAAATCGGCACAGAACCCCCGACGACGGCGGCGACGGCGGCGACGACCCACCGACGAAGCTGCGGACGCCGCATGGGGGGGTGGAGGGGCCTCGCCACTCGGCCTCGGCGTGGCGGAGGTGCTGCCCTGGGTGGTGTCGCAGCTCTGCTGGTGCCCGGCTGGGCCAGGCTACCACGTCCTGACGACCACCGCTCGGAAGCTCCAAGAAAAGAGGGACGGTGACCACAACGCGTGGCGAGTCGGAAGGGACTCGGGGTGGCCGCGCGAGCTTGGGACTTGGGTCGTTTTACGAGGACTTCTCGGAGGCCCAGGGACTGAGGCCTCGAGGGTCCCAAAGTGGGGCGGTGACGGACCGTGCGGTGAGGTCTTTAGGGGGTTCGAAATTACCGCATGGTCTGTCACCGCACTGCTTTGGGACCCCCAGGCCGCGCCCGACATCCACACGGCGAGCGACCCCACGAGCCTCGAGCCCGTGCAGGCCGCAGCTTCGCGGCATGAGGGTCCCCCTGGCGCCACGTAGTTCCCGCAGACACGCTCGGTAACAATGTTGCCACCAAGAGACTTGACTCGACCAAATTCAAACACCGCGGCACAGGCATCACAATTCCAGCAGAGCCTTCCCATGCTGGCGCCCAAGGGACAATTAACACGGCGGACCCAACTGACCAGGAGAGCGCCACGAAGGGTAAGAAATAAGCACGTTGAGAAAAAGAGCAAGAAAGCCAGTAATACCACCTCTGCAGACACCATGGCCAGTGACCATGCTGGAGATCCGACTCTCGTCGATGGCCATTGAATGTGACGTTGATGAAAACGTCCGACCACGATGACTCCCGAGCCGCAGCGACCTGAGCGGCATCCTCGTGCAGGTACTATCAGTCCCAAGAAACCGTTCACGCTCCGAAGCAGAGTAGGCAGCCGAAATGCACGGATAGCTTACAAGCGAGCCTCGCTTGTGAGCAGCACGTATGTAATGTGGTGCCGTTGCCTTCTGCCTGCTGTGTCAGACAGGCGAACGGCATGACATGACATTCGCGTTGACTGCCGCTACCAATTCCCATCGTCTATGACAAGTGAGTCCAGGCTCTTCAGCAAGCGGGTTCCACACAATTTTTCATCAGCGCCAGGACCTGCTTCATTTGGAAGCAGCGCGAAGCCGTTCTCTCTTGAGCGCCGGCGTGGCGCGATGATAAGGTGGTACACGGTGGTGATTCTCCTCCTCATCCTCATCCCCTCCTCCTCCTCCTCCTCCTCCGCCTCCTCCGCCTCCTCCTCCTCCTCCTTCTCTTCCTCCCTCCTCTCCTCCACTTGCATCTTCCGGGCCAAAAAACTTGCGCCTCCCGCTGCTGCGACCCCGCCAACAAGGACCCTAAGTCGCGCCAGTCGGCTGACCACTCCATGGCCTTCATCGTGTCGCGGATTCTGGTGAAGGCGCCGGCAGGAGGAGAGGGGAGAGAGAAGAGGAGGGCGGTCGGGCGCATCGACCGAGACCCCGTCGAAGTTATGAGAAAAACGCGACGGAAGGTTCTTCGCCATTTTCGGCCTCTGGAGGCCCTCACCGGGCCCTGGGACCGTCAAAAAACGACTCGGGATAAAAAGCCGGTCCCGGGGAATGGGTCAAAGACCTCTGGGGCTTGACGTCATGAGAAAAGCATGACGTCGGGGGTCTGGGGAGAGGGGTGGGAGGATTGAGGGGATGGGGTGGGGGGATGTCATGGCTGGGGCCATGGCATCTCCCAGACTGCATGGCCCCCTCTGCCCCTCTTTCCTCCTTCCGCACGTTCCCCTCTTTCCTCCTTCCGCACGTTCCCCCAGGCCCGCCCCCCCCGTCATCCTCGCGCATCCCTCGGACCATGATGCGCTGACCCCCCCTTCTTCCCCCGAGTGGAGGGGGAGATCGGTCGTTCGGTCGGTTGGTCGCGGGCCACGAGGGGCCTGGTCACTTGAGCCCTCCTATGGGGGGAGAGGGACAGAGGCTACTCTCAGGCCAGGAGGAAGGAGGGGGGGGGGAGGCAGCAGAGGGCTGGTGAAGGCCCAGGCGGCGGGGAAAGTCCCGTCCACCATGGACGCGGCGTGGATGGAGCTGATGTTGTCGCCGTACGACTACGGCAAGGACGCGCTCTACGACGCAGCAACCCGGGAACTCATGGGGAAGATCACCTTCTCGCACGGCGGTCCGGAGTACGATGCCAAGTACCCCGATGGGATTCCGACCTCCATCGACATCACGCTGAAGGGCGGGAAGAAGATCTCCAGCGGCCTCGTGATGTACCCGTCGGGCCATGCGCGCAACGCCACGGCCGACCTGCGGGCCATCCTCGCCCACAAGAACCGGATGCTGGGCGACATCGTCTTCGCCGACCGGAGCACGGTCGACGGCCTCGTGGGCCGGCTGGCGGGGCTGAAGGGCGCGAGCGCGGCAGAGGTCTCGGCGGTCTACGACTTCGACTGGAGCTCCATGCGGTCCCACCCCTGCATCGACTGAGCCCGAGCGGGCACGCGAGCGGCGTCCTCGGAGGCCGAGGGGCCCCGTCCGTGCACATCGATTGGGTCGGAGCGGGCACGCGAGGGGCATCCGCACGTAGCGGGCCTCTCATCCCGCGGCTTCTGCGCGGCCAGCGCCTTTAGGACTCCTGGCCAGCCATGGTCTGCCCAAGGGGGCTCCGTGGTCCTTTTCGTCCCCGTTCTCGCTGGCATGCCGTGGAGGCGATAGGCCCGAAGCGCCAGCTCGAGCAGCTGCGCACCAGCGATGGGAAGGCAGCAGAAGGAGCAACGGTGGGGAAGGGGCACGCTGTGCGACGCTGCACCTCACAGCCAGTTCGGAGGGAAGGGGGGAAAGGGCGGAGGCGTGCCGCTGGAGGTCCCTGTCCCTGCAGGTCTCTCTGGGGGGTCTCCAGAGATCCCCAGAGACCCCCAGAGGCTTCTCAGGGTCCTGGGAGGGCCAAGACATCCCGAAGTTTCGGTCGCCGCTCCCCGATCGTAGTCCCCAGACATCCGACGTCACGATTCTGCTCGACACGGGGTCCCCAGAAGTCCAGACCCTTTCTCCAGGGCCGACGTTTCGCCCCGAGTACGGCAGGTTCGGGCAGTATCGATGCGGTGGCGACCCCAGCGCGGGCGTTCAAAGTTAAACGCCGCCAGTGGCCCGGAGTCGGCCGACATCGCAGGATCTGCGCTGTCAGGAAGCTGCGATCGTTCGAGGCTGAACGGTCAAGGCCACATCAAAACCAGCGCCGAAGTCCTCACGACACGAGCTTGCTGTATTCGTGTGGTTCTCCCCTGGTCCGGCCAGGGTCCCCCGAGGCCGAAAGCAGTGGAGCAGATCGCCCTGACATCCCAAGGCCGTCAGATGCTTGGGTCCTCGAGGCACGCCTCCGCCCAACGGCTCGCGCAGCCGCCTTTGAGCGCTCCCCTCCCAGGAAGCGCTCCTCCTCCTCCTCCTCCTCCTCCTCCCCTGCGCTCCAAGCTAAAGTCGGGCCTGTCCCTTTACAGGAGGAATATTCAAAAATGATTTTAAAAAATAGTCTGGGGACGATTTTTCTTGCACTTGTTTTACCAGTTTGGAATATTTCTTGGGTATTTTTAATTTTTCGTCGAAAATCGGCCTGTAGGGGGACATGCCCGACCAAACTCTAGGCGACGCCGCGGTCCCCCGGCGCTCCGGGGCAGCTGGGTCGGGCATCGCACCTCCAGGGTTCGATGCTGGAGCCGTCTGCGGGTCTGACCCTCCCCCCTCCCCCCGCTTGCCCCTTCCCTCGCATGGAGGGTTTCTCCGAAGGGCTCAGGCGACCCGTCCTCCTCCTCCTCCTCCTCCTACTCCTCCTCCCTCCTCCTCCTCCTCCTCCTCCTCCTCCTCCTCCTCCTCCTCCTCATCCTCCTCCTCCTCCCCCTCCTCCTCCTCCTCCTCCTCCTCCTCCTCCTCCTCCTCCTCCTCCTCCTCCTCCTCCTCCTCCTCCTCCTCGTCCTCCTCCTCCTCGGGTCGCCTGCGGCCCCAGGGGAAACCGTGCACCCCCTCCCGCGCGACCCCCCACCCCCGCTTCTTCCTTGCCTCGCCCGCCCGCCTGCCTCCCGCACACCCTTCACCCCTGCCCCGTTTCACCCAAGCGTTTCTCGTTTGTCCCTTTTTGCCATGGCTTTGGATCGCACGCCAGTGTTGCGGCGGGCATTGGTTATCCCTTCAATGTCTCCACCTGTTTTTCAGGCAGTTTGGGTTCAGCAGTTTCGTCGCCTGGGCCCAGTGCGCACGCTCCCATGCTCAGCGCGCTCAGGCCCAGCTCGGATCGGGGTAGTGGCCGATCGTATGTTGGCTGGGGGTTATCCCTGGAAGCTCTGCTTTGCTATTTGTGATATCAGGGTGCCATCCCCCTTCTAATCGCAGGAAGTAGAGGGGTGCCGAGGAAGAGCCCCCCCGAACGCCAGCTCGGGGAAGTCTACCCTCCACGCCCCCGCCTCCTAATCATCATTCGCCCGCTCCCTATCAAGAGAGCCCTTCTCCGCATCAAGATAAGTTTAGACAGTCAAGCAAGGATGGAGGAGAGGGTTGAGGGTTAAGGGGGAAGGGGAGGAGGAAGGGGGTGATAAGGATGATATGAGAAACAGGAGGAGGCGCCTGAACACAACCACGACGAGGACGACGCACAGCAGAATGACTAAGATGAGAAAGAGGAGGAGGAGGAGGAGGAGGAGGAGGAGGAGGAGGAGGAGGAAGAAGAAGAAGAAGAAGAAGAAGAAAAAGACGGAGAGAGGACACGAAGAAGGAGGAAGAGGGGAGGTGAGGGGGCTGGGAAAGGTGCAGAGAAAGGAGGAAGAGGACTAGAGGAAGAGGGAACGAATAATGCCCAATCTTAGTTCCCCCTGTGAAACGAGTGCTGCAACACCTGAGGACGGCCCCTGAAAGAGGACGGTCGTCCTCCCCCCACCCTTTCCTTCCCCATCCCATCTTCCTTCCTCCTTCCTCCTTCTCTTCCGCATCCTCTTCCTCCTTCGTATCCCCCTCCTCACCTCCTCCTCCTCCTCCTCCTCCGTCTCCTCCTCCATCCGTTTTCATTGTAAGTAAACAACCCCTCTCTGTCGCACCCCTGGACGTGTCGGTAGGCCAGGCCGGGCGTTTCGCTCGAGGCTTTCTCATCATTTCCGATACTGAAGCTTGAGATCTACAACACATTTAAGATGCGGCTCCCGAGGTAGCGCCGCGCACATTCGTCTTAAACGTTGGCAAAAGCCTCAAGGATGAAGGACTGGCCCCTTTCAAAATGTCCAGCTGCCCGCTGCAAACCTCGCCACCGTGCCTATGCAACAGCGCAGCGGGAAGAAGACTGAGTGCAGCAGCGGCGCAATTCAGACGAGTAGTCTGCATTTGGGCGGGCCGTGATCCCGACCTCGTTTTCGTGCGCGCGATAGGGAGGAGGAGGAGGAGGAGGAGGAGGAGGAGGAGGAGGAGGAGGAGGAGGAGGCGGAGAGGCGGAGAGGGAGAAAATGAGGATGAGGAGAAGAAGGCCTCCTGGGGAACTCGTGGGGCCTCTTGGGGGCCTCTTGGGGGCCTCCTGGGCCGTCTTAGGGAGCTCATGTTGGGGGCCTCTGTAGGCTGGGTTGGTGCCCTCTTGAAGCGGTTCACGGCCGTCTTGGGGCGTTTTTAGGAGCTTGCTGTGCGATCTTTGGGTCCTCTTGGGCCGACTTGGGGCCCTTTGGGGGGCCTCTTCGGCTGTTTTGGAGCTATATTGGAGGCTTCTTGGAAGCATATTGGACGTCTTGGGTGGTCGGAAACCCGCACAGGCGAGACCCTCAAAATCTGTCAAACACCCGAGGGAAATCAATGGTTTGGGCCTCCTCGGGCTCTCCAGGAGGGCCTCTTCCTCTTGGGCCGTCTTGTGGGCTTCTTGATATGCCTTGATGTTGTTTTGGGAGCCTCTTGAGCCGTCGACCATCTTGGCGTCATCTTGGCTGCCTTGAAAGCCGTCCTGGAGGCCATGAGGCTCCCAATGAAGGCCTCAAGACAAATCAAGAGGCCCCCAAGGCGGCCCAAGGGGCCTCCCAGAGGCCATCCAGGAGAGCCCGAGGAGGTCAACACCATTGATTACACTACGGTTGCTTGAAGGGTTGTGAGGTTCTGCCATGTCTGGGTTTCCGTCCGCTCACGACAACCCAGGAGGCCTTGCTGGGCCGGCTTACTGCTCCCTTGAAGTGCTTCAAGGCCGTCGTGGGGCCCTCGTTGGACGATCTTTGGGTCCTCTTGGGCCGATTTGGGGTCCTCTTGAGGGCCTCTTGGGCAGTCTTAGAGCTATCTTGGAGGCCTCTTGGAACCCTCTTGGGCCGTCTCGGGTGGTCGGAAACCCGAAATGACGAGAACCTTTTGATCAAAACCCAAGGGAAAATCGGGCTCTCCAGGAAGGCCTCTTGAAGCTGTCTCGGGCCGTCTTGGGGGCCTCTCGGGCAGTCTCCAGGCCGCTTTGGGCAATCTTGAGCCGTCTTTGAGGTTCCCTTGAGAGGCTTTTGAACTGTCTTGGGCCATCTTAAGCAGGATTATTGTCGTCATGGTTGTCTTGGAGGTCATCTTGGCCGTCTCGAGGCCGACAAGACCGCCAGAAAGCAATTTCAGAGCGGGCGGCGCTTTAGGGTGGCCTGTGGGCCTGGGGGCGGGGTCTTTCACAATGTTACAAGGCACCCCATCAGACAACACATAGCATTCTAGCACGCCCACTCCTTGCAAGCACGGTGGCGGATGGTTATTGTCTTTGCGCCGCGTAGATTTCGTTTCAATGTTCACAGTGACTCCAAGGATGAAGGGCGCGTGGTTTGAACAGGATGGATTTCGACTCAGCGCCGTGCACATTCGCTTGAACGGTTTACGAACATGCATAGGATGGAACATTGGTCCTTTTCAAAATTCAGCTCTCGCCTTCACGCCGCACACGTTCGTCCCATAAGTTTGCAGCAGGTTTCAATGTGTGGCTCCCGCATTAGCGCAGCGTACATTCGCCTCAGACGTTTGCAACAGCCTCAAGGCTGGAGCATGTGCCATTATTGTCCTCAAGTATGGTTATTGTTTTAGCGCCTTGTAGATTCGTCTTAAAAGTTTGCAGCAACTTCAAGGACGTAGGGCGCGTGGTTTGAACATATGGCTCTCGCCTTAGCGCCGCGCACTGTCGTTTGAACAGTTTACAAACATGTCCAGGATGGAACGCAGGTCCTTTTCATAATGTAGTGCTCGTCTTAACGCCGCACGCATTCGCTTCAAAAGTTTGAAAGAGTTTCAAAAATGAAGGGCGGCCCTTTTTCAAAATGTAGCTCTCGCATTAGCGTCGCGCACATTAATTGTACAACACTGTAACAGTTTCAAGGGATCGTTCGGTTGAAGTCTCAGGAATGTTGTTCTCGCAAGTTTTAGCAATGCCGGGGCACAGAAGTCACGTTGAGTCGCGGCGTTGAAGTCAGAGGAATGGTGTTTTGGTGCGCTTGCAGGATTCAACAGTCACGCTGATTCGCGGCATTGAAGTCCCGGCAACGGTGTTTCTGCACGGTGTTGAGGATTCACTAACGGTTGTCTTCCAATGGGGTATTTCCCACAATGGATAAATTCTTGTAGGAGCCTATGAAGCAACTTGGTTGGAGGGTTGATTGCAGCATTTTTGATGCGTCTTGGCTTTAGATTGGTCCTCCTCCTCTCCCCCTCCTCCTCCCCCTCCTCCTCCTCCTTCTCCTCCTCCTCCTCCTGTTCGTCCTCATCCGCCTTCTCCGACTTTCGGCTCCTCCACATAGCTACCTTTCCGCTCCTCCGTCTTCCTCACCCTCATAATCATCATCATCCCTCCCCGTTGTCATCATCATCATCATCATCATCATCATCATCATCATCATCATCATCATCATCATCATCATCATCATCATCATCATCATCATCATCAGTCTCATCGTCGTCATCGTCGTCGCCATCGTATCATCGTCACGATCCCTGGCCATGGTCAGCATCCCCCCTCGCGGGGAGGCCGCGGCTGCTTACGACGCGGATGCCGGAGCCGCACACGTTCTGGTGCTTGCCAGCAAGAACATGGCCCTGAGGCCGCATCCTCGGGGGGGATGCCAGCTTGAATACGACTTCTGGTGGCGTGGGAGATGTTGGGGTTTGGCGGCGTGTACAAGGGTTTGGCGCGAGTGGGGCGGCCTTCTCAGAAGGCGGGGGCTATATTAGAAGCCTGGAGGGCCCTTCCAGGATGGCCCGCTGCTTCTAAGAAGCCCTTCGCCTTCTTGGAAAGCGGCCCCCGTCGCGCCACCCCCTTGCGCGCGCCGCCAACGAAAAGTGTTACATGTGCTCGAGCGCTCGCAGGTCATCTGGTGGCCCGTTTCGGAAGAGGGCGCCAGTAGTGTCCGGCATTGTTGGTTTGTGTTCGCTTCTCCTGGGATGGCATGAAATCTGAAGCGGTGTCCGAACGTGCCCACATGGCCTGAACGTATTTCTCTGATGTCGCAGTCGTTCCTAGTAACAATCGGAGGCCTCCGAGGTGGAAGGTGACAACCCCAGACTCCCAGGTGTGCACAAGGGGGCTCGGGCCACCTCAAGATTTTGGTCGAAGGCGTTTTCCTTCTGGATTCACCTTTACCTCGAAGGAGGAAGAGGATAAGGTCGGACAGGGGAAACAGGACGGATTAGGACGAAGAGGAGAAGGAAGAGGGGTGGGAGAGAAGAAGGAGGAGGAGGACGGTAAGGAGAGGTGGAGCTTGCGATGAAGGGGAAGGATGGGGAGGAGGAGGAGGAGGAGGAGGAGGAGGAGGAAAAGCAGGAGGAGGAGGAGGGGGAGGAGAAGGAGGAGGCGGAGGAGTTTGCGAAGAAGGAGGAGAAAAGGGAACAGCAGGTGGTGAAGGAGGCGGAGGGATGAGGAGAAGCAAGACGAGGAGAGCTGCTCACCGGTTGGGGACCAGGAGTGAGCAGTTGGATGAGGGCACGATGAAAACCAAAGAGCCCTGAAGTTGCGACTGTACATCTTAGTTAATAAATATCGAGTTCAATGTTCGAGTCTAGTCGGAGCGCACAGCAACTAAGTACATACTTGCATGCACACTGTCTACAGCGAATCCTGCGACAATGTCTGAGGCGAGGTACAGAAAGAGGAGGAATGAGGAGGAAGAGGAAGATCACTAAACGGTTGTCCGCAGAGATGGTCGTTCGTTCTTCCTGTTCCTTTCTTTCTCATCCTCCTCCGCCTCCTGGTCCTCCTGATCCTCCTCATCATCATTCTCGCTTCCTCGGCCCACAGGAGAGTCGGCGCGTTGATCGGCGCCGACAGCAGCTACAAGGTGTCACTGCAGATCCCTGTCCCAGAGGCCAGCCTGCACACCAGGGGCAGCCGAGGGAACGCGCAGCCCCGAATCCCAATTTCTGATGGAGGAAGAAGACGAAAGGGAGGAGGAGGAGGAGGAAGATAAAGACGAGAACGAGGAAAGGGACGAGGACAAGGAAAAGGACGAGGAGAGGAAGAAGGAGGAGGAGGAGGACCGTAGCCATTTTGGTTCGTGCCGTTTCTCCCGCGTCCCGCCACAGCCATTTCGGACGATGGCGGGGCTGGCAGGAGGAGATGGCTGCGGGAAGAGTTACCAGGCAGGCGATCCTCGGAGGAGCCGTGCTCAGCGCTCCGCGGCGCGGCGACGGGCATTGGAGTCAGCGGACGCGGGCCTCGCAGCGGCAAGGCACGAGTTGGATACCCTCACGGAGCGGCTTGCCAGCGCCCTGGAGACCGTGCGCGGGCTCGAGCAGGGGTGGAGCCCGAGTCCAAGTCGGGCCGCAGGATTATGCTCATACTTCCTGTCTTGGCTGCGAAGCTGCATGGCAGGCCCGTCCCTGGTTCACTCAGGGCCAGGCGCAACGCGGCCGAGCACGCGTTCGACACTCCAGCGGACGTCATCGCCCTGGATAGCACAACTAAGCTCAACAGGTTGCACATCATTTCGTTCTTGGGGCTGGACGGTGGGAGCTGCACCCACCGAACTTGCGTGCACGTGCGGAACCAGCGTCTTCTCGTCACTCGAGCTGCCTGGCCCGTGCCTCATGGTAGCAAGGCGGCCTGGCCCGACCGCCCTTCCCGAGGGAAAGGTTGAGGGTTCGTCGAGCGGGGACGAATGTCATTCCCCCGCCGACGTGACATGTTCGTCTATGGTGGAGGGGCGCACCAGCAGCGGCCCGGCCAGAGGGCCCCTGTGGGGGGTGACTGCCCAGGCGGCTGGCCGACAGCGCGTGGCGGGCGCTGGCGTTGAGGGTTGGACTGCTGGTGCTGAGGCGCCCCGTGGTCATCCTGCCGCGGTGCCTGGTTTGGAGGCGGCACACGAGGAGCAGGATGAGGCCGAGCAGTCCGACGACGCGGCCCTGGATGCTGCCACGGTCGCGCCCGACCCCGCGTCGGACACGATCACCAACACCGACAAAAATTGTAGACAGTGATGTGGTGATGTGGACCTGGTCGTGGAGGAGTTGGACCGGCTGGTGCCGCAGAAGTTGGAGGAGATGCACCTCCACGGCGGCGCCTTCCATTGTTCGGTGCGCAGCCGTGCGGAGGCTCAGCCGCTAGTGCGCCGCAGGAACGATGTCAACTACGTCATCGAGCGTCTCGAGGAATTGGAGCAGTGGTTGGCCGCTGTAGCATCATCCACGGGACGACCCTTCGTTCGGCAGCAGGCGCGGCTCACCCCAGGCATCCGTGCGCGACATCGGACCGCCTACCGATGCTTCGTGTGAGCAGCAGTAGTTTGATTCTGATATTCCTATACATAGTTTAATTTGAATGTTCTGCCACGTTAGCTGTAAGAGTGTATGTCCTGTCCGCTTGCATCGTTGTGCGTGCTGCGTTGCACCAGTGTCTGTATTGATCTCCTTCTTTGTATTGTGGCGTAGACCAATCTTGCAGTTTTTACATTCGTTGCGATGTGTGTGTTGTTTCCTTGGGTGTTGCCCTCTTGTTCAAGGATCAGACACACCATTTGCGTTATGATATTTTGTCGGACTGACTCGCGCAATGCCCTTGGCACTTCGGGACGCGCGATGAGACGGAGGAGGAGGCAGAGGAGGAGGAAAGGGAAGAAGAGGAGGAGGAGGAAGAAGAGGTTCACTGCCCATAGATAGACAGAGAGGGAGAGAGAGGGAGAGATATATAGCGGACAGAGAGGGGAAAGACAGCAATGGGGGGGAACGATCAGGATTAGACCCTTTGGCCCCCTGATATTACGAAGGTCAGCCACTGGTGAAGTTTGGCGGTTCGCGCAAAGATGACACATCTTGTTCATCGCTGTCTACCGGGCCCCACGCGTAGACATCCCCAGCTCCAACTTCCAGATCCTGGACGGCACGGGGGTTCATTTCAAAATGCAAGGAAAGTGTTTCAGAGCCGTTGGAAACTGGAACAACACAGTCGAGCACATGCACCAGCAGGGGCTTCAAACGTTTCTGCGACTTGTCTGGCGAGGTCCTGCGGACCGTGGCACGACCTCGCCAACCTGGTCGACATAGAGCGGGATCCGACAAGTCCACATGGTGCCCCTCATGCAGGCGTGGCCACCAATCTGCGCATGAACGAATTCTCCTACCTAAGACGGCCATGGCAACCGTGCCCAGCATCAACATGGGCATCCAGGGGCAAGAGTTACCTCGGACATGGCACGCAGTTCGAGTTGAAGGGCTTTGCGAGCGAAGCGCGGCATCCCTCAGAAACAGCCATGGCGAAGGGGCCCTGGCAGGATCCCCGCCCCCGCCCCCGCGCGAGGAGCTGGCAAAAGAATACAAGAGTTTCACTCTTGCAGCCGGGAGTTGTTGACCACCACGGAGGGCGCGATGCCAAACTCATCGAAGTCCCAGGGGTCCGGGCTCAGCCCATAGGTTGGCGAGCTGATTGCGAAAAGGGGCGAGCGCCCGGGCCGCCCTCGCGGCGGGCGCGGCGGGTTGGGTTCATCTTCGGAAGACGCCCGAGGACACGCGGGCGCGCGAGAAGGCGCGGCGGAGAGCAGAGGCCAGTTCCGCAGAGGCCCAGCCGCCCCCGAAACGCCCGACGCATGGCAGAGAGGAAAGAAAGCCCTGGGCCGTTGGATGGATCGCCAGCGCGAAGAAGCTTGCGCCGTGCAGGAATTATTTGAAGGAGCTTCAGATGATTGCCAAGAACGCGGAGCTCCACCTTGCGCGAGTCCCCTATAAGAGTTGCACGGGATGCGCCTGGACGGGCCTCTCGCCAGGGATTGTGCCCCCCCCCCGCGCCCGGGCCCAGTCTCGGGGTCAACCAGCTCTGGACCTGGCCCCCGAGAAGTGCTCTGCGACGGAACCGCCGCCAGAGGGGCCCCGTGAAGGTCATCGACGAGAAGGTGGTTGGAGGGTTTCTCTGGCGTTCGGACTCGCCGGAGATCGAAGGCCCGTTTGGACGGCAGGGGGGCTTGCCCGCTCAGACCACGGGGGGGGCCCGCGGAGAACCTTCTCCGCAGGGGCTCTCGGAGGCCCCGAAGAGCCCCCGTGGGGCGGCAGGGCAGGGGGGGCGACCCAGATGGGTAAGACGGGGCGCCGGCCGGTCTCCCCGCGCGGAGCGGCGGCGCACGGGGTCAGCCCCACCGCTTTGCTTCAGACGCAAGCTACAGCGGCACCCCTCACAGACCACCAGAGTCCAGGACGTTGCCCCATCACCTGCATCAGACGAGGTGGTTCTGACAAGGAAGACCCACAGGCGCACGGCAGGTTGCGGGCGTTTTCAGCGCGGCCTGGCACCTTACCACACTTGTCGGATCGCATGCGAGCTGTAGAGACTGTTTCAAAATATGCGAATGGAGGGTAACGCTTGAGAACCCCGCCGCGGGGGCGACAATGGCGCGCCTCGCGGACCTCGGATGGGGGCCCTTGGAGCCCGCGGCCTGGGCGACCCATCGCCTGGCATACATTCTGCCAGCGTGAGCGTTTTGGATCGATCTGTCGGCGGCTCGTGGCTCTGCCAGACCGTCCAGGGCCTCTTGGGGCCCCCTTCTTGGCCTGTTTTGGGGCCCTCTGTCCCCCCGTGACGCGTTCCAGCGGTCCCCGGGGGATCTCCCCCCCTCATGATCGACCAGACCAGACTACCGGGGGAGGGGTGTGGGGAGGGGGAACGCCGATGAACCCCAAAGGGTCGGCGGATTTGGCGCCACTTGTTGCGCTGATATAAGAATTGGCCTGGCGAAGGACCCAACCAGATTCAGTTGTGAATGACTCTGTTGTGAGGATCGTCTTCGGTGGAACTCCCCATGGGGCCACAAAACGTGTGAGGGGCGTACCAATTTGGGGAAGGGGCGGGGCGCATGTGAATCCTCCCGCTGGGACCTTCGGTGGCGCTCCCTACGGGGTCACGAAACGTGTGAGTGGTGTGCCGGAGCGGACGTGACGCCCACATGCGAACTGCGCCGCTGGGACCTTCGGTGGAGCTCCCTACGGGGCCACGAAGCGTGTGAAGGGTGTGCCGAAACGGGCGTGACGCCCACATGCGAACTGCGCAATTGGGACCTTGGGTGGACCTTCCCATGTGACCACGAAACGTACGAGGGGCGTGCCGAAACGGGCGTGACGCCCACATGCGAACTGCGCTACTAGGACCTTCGGTGGAGCTCCCTACGGGGCTCCGAAACGTGTGAAGGGTATGCCGACATGGGCGTGACGCCCACATGCGAACTGCAGCACTGGGACCTTCGGTGGAGCCCCCTACGTGGCCACGAAACGTGTGACGGGTGTGCCGAGACAGCTGTGACGCCAGCATGCGAACTGCGCAATTGGGACCTTGAGTGGAGCCCCCTATGTGGCCTCGAAACGTGTGAGGGATGTGCCGAAACGGGCGTGACGCCCACATGCGAACTGCGCAGTTGGGACCTTGAGTGGAGCCCCCTATGTGGCCTCGAAACGTGCGAAGGCTGTGCCGAAACGGGCGTGACGCCCACATGCGAACTGCGCCACTGGGACCTTCGATGGAGCCCCCTACGGGGCCACGAAACGTGTGAGGGGTGTGCCGAAACGGGCGTGACGCCCTCATGCGAACTGCGCCATTGGAACCTTCGGTGGAGCTCCCTATGTGGCCACGAAACGTGTGAGCGGAGTGCCGAAACGGGCGTGACGCCAACATGCGAACTGGCCTTCGGTGGAGCGCCCTATGTGGCCACGAAACGCATGAAGGGTGTGCCGAAACAGAGACGATGCAGGGAAGAGGCGAAAAAACAGCAGCCCGACACACATCAACCGCTTCGAGCGCGGTGGTGGATTCTTGTGCTCCTCCTCTGGGACTCCAGGAGGACTCAGGGCTTTGCCATCATGACTTCTGCAGAACGTGGTCCCCCGAAATGTTGGGCCCTTCCTGTGAACAGGTGTTTCGTCCCAGATCGTTTCTTGACGATGGCCCCAGGGCCCGAGAACGCCTTCAGAGACATACCTCCGCGAAGAGCGCTGGCACCGGACAAGAAGCCGCAACGCCAGAACTTTGGGTCTGTCCAGGGGTGCGTTCTGGCCAGAACTTCGAGGCGGATCCAGCCGTAGCGGCGAGGGCGACCCTGGATTCTCTCTCTTCAGACGTCGCAGCTCGTTCGCAACGTTGCCCCCCCCCAGGGATCTCGACCCATTCCCTGGGGCTGGCTGTTCCTCTTGAACCAGTTTTCGATGGTCCCGGTGCCAGGACGAGACCTCCCAGGGCCGAGAACGCAGACAAATTGGCCGTCGCCCGCGATTTTTGTGTGCCTGGTCCAGGCCGTGGGCGGCACCCAGAAAGAGCGCTATAGTTAAACGCCCAAGAAGCTCGATCCTCCATAAGTCATTGTGGCTCAAGCGATATGGCCCGAGGGTGATCTCGATCGTCGGGCAGGCGGGCCTTGGGGCTTGGCCGCTCAGTCGGTGCCCCGCCCGCCGCGATTGCGCCGCGCTGGAGGTCAGCGCGATGCAGGCCCAGCGCCAGGAGAGGCACGTGGTCTTCCTGTTCGCCGCGGCGGAGGGCGGCCGTGCCACGATCCAGCAAAAGGAGGGCGCCCGCCTCCCAGCGGCCGCTCGCTGCGAGCTTGGCCGCCGCCCTCCAGCCGCCCGCTGGGCCAGCAGCGCTCCTGCCCGACGCTGCCGTGCGGCAGAGCCGTTGGACGAGGGTTCGCTGGCCGCGGCGGTCGTCGCCCCAGCGGCTGCGAGAACCTCCGCTGAAGAGCAGCTGCTGCGATGCGGCCCAGCCCTCGGTGCCCTGCTGCCGGCGCGGTCGCCAGCCGCCAGCTTCCTGTCGCGCGCCGCGACCTCGCGCCATGCCGCGCTGGCGTCGTTCATGGGCCTGCCAGCAGGCGTGCCGCCGATGGTGCTCAGCGCCAGTGAGGAGTGGGACGTGGACAGCGACTTCGGCGCCCCAGCGCGGCCCCCCCCGGGGCGCGCAGGCGCGCCGCCGCCGGCCGCAAGCCAGATCGTGTGGCTGTGGAGCGAGGGCGACGGCAGCTGGCAGCCTCTCAGGGTGGGGCCGCCGCGCCTCCGGAGCCCGCAGCCGCAGCACTGGGGGCCCTGGGACCTCAGCATTGCCGGCGACGGCCAGCAGGGCCACGGCCACGCGCGCCACGTCGTCCACTACCTGTCCCCGATCACCACGGTCTTGCTGGTGTTCATCAGCGCCCTCTTCGCGGCGCGCCTGGTGCGCGAGATGGCGGCGGCTCAGCGCGCGGCCCAGGCGGGAGCCGCCAACCAGGACGGCATAGTCATCAACAACCAGGATGGCGTCGTCGTCGAGGTAGACGTCGGGGACCCGCGGGTGGGAGCCGTGACGGTGGAGGCCGCTGGCATCCAGCCCTTCAGGCCCTTTGGCGGGCAAGGCCACCGGCTCCAGCCCGCGGGCAAGGCTCGGCCACGCCCAGAGGGGGGTAGGGGGGAGGGGGAAGGCTTCTTAGAAGACACGGGCCTTGTCTGTAGATATTTAAGGCCCGCGCCTTCTGAGAAGCAGCCTTATTCTAAGAAGCCTTCCCGCCTCCCCCTGCCCCCTTAGCTGAGCGGGCGAAAGACGGTATCAAACAAACTGTTCCGTCGCCAGGGGCGCCTGCCCCAGGGCGCCCGAGGGTCTACAACCCAACGCTGGCAGGCGGAGGTGTATGAACTTCCCCCTCGCCCTGGGACTGGCGTGCCCCCGACGGCGGAAGACGCCATACCGCTCCTCGTCCGCTGAGAGGCCTCGGCGCCGGGCCCGGCGCCTGGCTCGCAGGCGACCGCGGACGGACCGCCACGGCCACCGCCGGGGCCGCCGGGCGCGCCGGGGCCGCCGCCGCTGGCGCCGCCGCCCGGGCCGGCCACCCCAGACTGAGAGGCGCGGGGGCCGACCGCGCGCTTCGCTGGGCCGGGGCGGCACCTCTGCCCGACACGAGGCGTGCCGATAGGGAGAGGGAGGGAGGGAGGGAGGGAGGGACGAGGAGGAGGAGGAGGAGGAGGAAGAGGACGACGACAAAGAGGAGGAGAACGACAAGGAGGAGGAGGAGGAGGAGGAGGCGGAGGAGGAGGAAGGGCCAGCGGGGCGGGGCCGCGGGCGCGGAAGCCGCCGCCGCGCGGGGCCCAGGCGCCCCGCCGCGGGGCCCGCCGGCAAGGGCGCCCAGGCGCTGCGCACCTGGGCACCGCGCAGCGGGGGAGAAAAAGAGTGGGAGCTCGATGCGATGCGTGCCGTGCTGGGCCTGGTTTTCAAAGTGCGAAGCATGTGCCGTCCGCGTGCCGTCCCTGGTTTTCAGGATTCGGAAAAGAGTGCCGCCCGCGTGCCGTGCCGTGCCCGTGCCTTGGTCTGGTTCTCGAAATGCAGAAACGTTGCCGCCCGCGCGCCGTGCGGATCCGAAGCTCCCAGCGAAAAGAAGGAAGCGGCCCGTTTTGGGAATGATCTTCGGCCTCCGGGGGCCCTCAGCGGGCCCTGGGACCGTCAAGAAAACGACTCAGGATGAAACCGGTCCCAGGGAGGTGTGGTCCAGACCTCCAGGGGTCCACGCATGGAAGAAATTGGTGCGCCGGATGTTTGGGCCCATGCGTCCGCATCAACTAACCGATCCCCATCCCGCACTGGGCCATGGTATCCTAGCCCCTCCAGGTCACCCGCCCAGGCAGGGATGGATGGGCCCCCGCGAAACCCGAAGGGCACAGAATACATCAGCCAGGGGGGCAAGAGACCATGAGAGTGGGGGCAGGGATCGGTGGAAAGATGCTCGATCCGCCCCGTCGATCCTCCCGGGGCCTTGTCCGGAGCAGGCCGCGGCCAGTCGGGGGCTGCCAAAGGTGGATGACGATTCGAAGGGGGTGGACATTATGGCCGTGGCCATGATATCTCCCCAGATCTCATAGCCCCCTCTTCTTATTCAAATGCATTCCCCAGTCCCCCCTTGGGCCGCCGACGACGACGACGACGACGACGACGACGACGAACACGACGACGACGACGCGCGACCCCCCTCGGGTGGCGCAGAGTCGGCCGATGATGGGCGATTTGCGCTGCTGGGAAGCCGAGATCGTCCAGGAGCGATCCACGCGGCGTTGGAAACAAACGCTGACGTCATCGCGATGTGAACCCTCTGTATGGAGGTCGCCAGCTGGGGTATTTTCTGGAACGGGGAATTCTGAAACGGACGGGGCTTTCCAGAAACAAGACTGGGGAATTTCCCGATGCGTTGTTGTGCTGTTTTTGCTTGTCCCACATTTCCAGATTCCCTGGCTTGCTTTCGAATCTTCCTGGCTCGTGTTCTGTAATGCTTGGCTCGCCCCTCCGATTTCGTGGCTGTCCCTCTGCCCGTCGCCACCTCCCCCCGTGGTCGAAGCGCGAGGACGGGGGAGGACCGAGGATCGAAGGCGCCTTGGGTGGTGCTGGGGGGGGGGGGAGGTCCGCTGGGATCAGCCAGTCACCCCGAGCTGGGAGTTGGGAGCTTTAGGTGGTTCTGGGGGGAGGATCGAGGATCGAAGGCGCTTTGGGTGCTTCAGGGCGACCCGCGTTTGGGCGCCTTGTGGAGCCGATCACCCCCCCTGCCTCCGCCGACCCGGTGATTGGAAGCCTCTTCGTCGCCGACCGGGGCTCGCGCGCTGGTCCTGGCTCGCCCGGGTCAGCGCAGGCCCTGAGCAGCCCGTCCCCGAGGTTCGAGGCTCGAGCATCGAAGTTCCACTCCGGCGAGGTCTCGGCGTCGAACAACAGGTTCGAGGTTCGAGCATCAAGGTTCGAGGCTCGAGCATCGAAGTTCCACTCCGGCGAGGTCTCGGCGTCGAACAACAGGTTCGAGGTTCGAGCATCGAGGTTCGAGGCTCGAGCATCGAAGTTCCACTCCGGCGAGGTCTCGGCGTCGAACAACAGGTTCGAGCATCGAGGTTCGGGCATCGACGCCGTGATTGTTTCAGCACCGGCGTCCATTCTCTGCCTGGGCCTCTTTGTGGGCCCGCTTCGGGCCCCGGGGGTCGTCAAGATACTACCGCCCGGGACGGGCACCCGGTCCTTGGGGAAGGGGTCGAGGGGTCGAGGGTCCCGACGTGCTGCGAAGATCACGACGCCGGCGGTCCAGGCTCGCGGGTCGAGGACCGAGGTTCTGGTGCGCTCGGCGTTGTGTACAAAAAGGTCCTCGGGAAGGCGTCCAGGGGTCGAGGGATCGACGTGCTGAGAAGATCACGACGTCGGCGGTCCAGGCACGCGGGTCGAGGACCGAGGTTCTGGTGGGCTCGGGGTTGTTTGGGAGGGGAGGGGGTGCCTCCCGAGGCCGCCGAAGGCCTAGGGACTTCGGGGCCTCCAGAACCCTCTATGACCTCCGGGGCGGGGACAGCGACGAGCGAGGTCCCGCATCTTCCGCCCCACAGAGAAGTTAGCCAGCGTGGACCCCAAACAGTGGTTACTTACAAGAGTATGCGGCTCAATCTAGGTGGTGCAAGCACTGTGGTGCAGTCTTGGTGGTGCGATACATGTGGTGCTTTGCATGCGGCGAAAAGCGATGCAAATCCATATAAAGTCAGGCAAAGCAGCGCAAAGCCATGCAAAGCAACCCATAGCAACTCAAAGCAATGCAAACCAATTCAACACAATGCGACGCAATGCAACGCAAGGCAACGCAACGTGGCGACGGACGGCGGCGACGGCGGCGACGGGCGGCGACGAGCCGGCCGGAGCGCCATTGGGGCCCAGCTCCCGTAGAACACAAGTGAGAACCTTTAAGTACGAGCAATGTTTGGGGAATGGTACCCCTAACCAAAAAAAATCCTCATCGTCCTCCTCCTCCGCATCCGCATCCTCATCCTCCATCAAGGTCGCTCCCCAGACCTCTCCAGGAGAGCGTTCTGGCCAGCACGTCGAGGCGAATCGGGCTATGGCGACGATGGGCCCCCTGGAGGCCAAGGAAACGGCAGCATCAAAAGCATCAAAGTCCTCAGTCTCCCCCCCCCCCACATCCCTCCACTCCCGCCTCCCGCTCCCCTCCTCATCCTCATTCCTCCTCACCTTCTGGAGGTCTCCAGAGATCCTAGGAGGCCCCTGGAGCCAGATGCCCAGTAAAAATAGCCAGAGGCGTCCCAAGACCTGGATATCTTCGATTCTCGGTCCAAAAATGCTCGATCCTCGATCCTCCTCATTTCACTTCACTCTACCCTTGAAGCCCGTAAGAGCTGGGGGACCATTCACACTTGTCACAGCACTATATTTCTCGTGCCCCGCCACTTCTCGTAAGCAATTCTCGCACCTCACTGTTCTCGCACCGCTTCTTGACGCAGCCGCTGCCCTCTGCCACTTCTTCCACCACCGCGTGCCATTCATTCATTTTCTCTCTCTCTCTCTCTCTCTCTATATATATATATATATATATGCACACACGTATATACATTACATTGTTATATATAATGCGTATGTATACATATACATATATACATATAGTTGTATATGTATCACGCGCGCGGGCATGGCAGACCAAGCTCATCTCCTCCCCGCCCGCCCGCCCGCCCCTCCTCCTCTCTTCCTCCGCCTCCTCCTCCTCCTCCTTCTCCTCCTCCTCCTCCTCTTCCTCCTCCTCCTCCTCCTCCTCCTCCTCTACTACTACTACTACTACTACTACTACACTACTACTACTACTACTACTACTACTACTACTACTACTACTACTACTACTACTACTACTACTACTACTACTACTACTACTACTACTACTACTACTACTACTACTACTACTACTACTACTACTACTACTACTCCTACTCCTCCTCCTCCTCCTTCTCCTCCTCCTCCTCCCATCCATATCAGACATGCGGCGGGTACTTTCACGTGTATCAGATACTGCTGCGCCTGGCTCGGATCGACTGACGTACTCGGCGTGGCAGGCCAACGAGAAGTTCGTCGAGTGGTTGTACAGCGTGTTGTTGCACATCTTTTCCAGTTGCCCAGTTCCGCCTGGTCTCAACTACGGCGATCTGCTGATGTTGCCGAAAGGCGACGAACCCGGGGACCGTGTGGGAATACTTCGACATCCACATGCGCTGCGTCCACTCCTGCTCAAGAACAGTGACAGCAAGATCTTAGCTGCCACGACCAATCTAAAGTTGAAGACCGTGGCGCAACAGGAAGTCCACACCATCCAGCAGGGCTTCATCCCGCAGCGCCAGTCATCCAGCACATTGCACGGTTGGACGTCCAGTCGCGCATCGCCTCGACCAGCTGGACGCTGACGACGCCAAGCCCTTCTTCATCAGCCTCGACATAAAGGCGGCCTTCCCGTCGCTAGCGCGGCGGTGGTTGTGGAAAGTCCTCCGACGCCGAGCACATGAACGCGATCATGATGCTGTACGAGCACGGCTTGGTCTGCAGCCGCATCGGGCACCTCCACGTGCCGATGTTCTGGGCCACAGGCGGCGTCGCCCAAGGATGCCCGTCATCGGGAACTCTGTGGGCGATGGCGATGGGCCCCATATGGCGGCACCTACACTTTGAGATCGTCGCCAGTGGCAAGGGCGACGTCGGAGCATGCGCGGACGACGTCGGGGCCGTGCTGCTGCGATTCTAGCACTTCCTGAGCGCGCGCCCCGTTTTCGAAGCCGCGGAGCGGTTAGCGGCACTGCATTTGCAAACAGCGAGAACAGTGTTTGGTTGGGCCTCTCTGGTGCGAGGTTTCTCTGGACGTTCGTCTAGAGATAGAATCCATCCGACTCCTGCTCCGGCTGATTCCAGATTGGTCGAGGTTTAGAGTTGCCGGTTACGTTCGTTACCTCGGAGTCCACATGGGCCGAGCAGCCACACACCTTGATCAATAGAAAGCGGCCGAGCAGAAATGGCTAGAGCGAGCCTACATCATCCCCACTACTCGTGTCCCTTCCGATGCCTCCCTCCGCTCCTACAAAACCCAAGCCTTCTCAGTGCTATCGTACCTGGCTCAGTTTTCCCACCCCCTTCAATCCGTGCATGACTGTGAGTGTGGATTGTTGCATCGAGTCTTGCGTCTCCTTCCGAATTCATTTGATGGCCCTACCCTTCACGCCTTGTGTGGCTGGGTCCCCCAGGGCGCCATAGGCCGCTAGCGCCCTGGAGCCAGGCCCACCTGTGGCGTACGGGTGGCTCTACTGTGCACGAGTGGGGCCCATGGATCGAGCAGCTGCGAACGAGCGCGGAACACTCCCGCGAAGTTTTCGCGATTATTCGCGGCGAGTGGTCTGGGCCATTCTGGAAGGAGCCACGGGCCATCGTACAGAGGTGGGCCGAGGCAGCAGGTAGCACTCCGTGGCACAAGATCTCGCGATCGCGCCTGTTGGCGGCAAGTCAGGCTGCGATCCCAGAATGTATTGCCGCTGCTGCTGCGCAGCGCCGAGCACGACCCCAGAGTCTCTACCTCGCCTCCCTCGCCATCTCCCTCTACCCCGATTCCATGCCCGCCCTCCTGCGGAGGCGGTTTGAAAAATGGGTTGGTGATTTAGCTGCGCCAAAGATCCGCGAGCTCCAGCTGACCTCGCCAGAATTGAAAGATATTTTCATCAACTCGAAGCCAGCATGGGTTTGGTTGGGCCCACGTCAAAACCATAGTGGGCGGATGGACGACCACCCACAGAGTGAAGGCCGAGGCACTTGCCAATTGCCTTTTTCGGATTACCACATTGTCCAGATCCTTTTCCCCACTACCTCACTTGTCCGCTGACCTATCCCCCCCGACCTCGTCATCCGCATCGGGCTTGCGCCCCCGCCATTGTATTCATCACACTTCGAGCGAAAGAGCGCCCATGCATACACAGTGTTGTCATCCCACTCTTATAACAAAGTACGGCACGCTGCATCTACGTCCCAACCGTCCTCAGCATACGTTAACTTACTGCGCGCAGCTCAAGCTGCCATCAGCATGCAGATGAGATCGGCACCTGTTGCGCGTTATGCTACTTGCGTTCCTCCTCCTCCTCCTCCTCCTCCTCCTCCTCCTCCTCCTCCTCCTTCTCCTCCTCCTCCTCCTACACATCCTCCTCGTACACCTCCTCCTCCTCCTCCGGGGGAGTGGAGGGGCGAGCCTCGCCCCCTCCTTGTCTCCGACGATGTCTGCGTTTGGCTTCGTCTTGGGTAGTTCGCTTGCGTTTTCCCGTTCGTTCATCGTCGAGTTGTGCGTGCTCGGTTTTTCCAACCGTCTTCCTTTCCCCTGTCCTGTCTCAGCGCGCTCGGGTTCGATTTGGCGGCGCCCCCTCGGCAGGCAAAGGGCGACGCCGGGAAGCAGCTCGAGGTGGCCCTCGTGGAGGCCCTGACGGCCCTCGGCCGCAAGGAGGCGGCCGCGGGCGGGGCAGGGTCGGGGAGGACGTCACGATCTTCGCCGAGCAGGGAGGAGGAGGAGGAGGAGGAGGAGGAGGAGGAGGACGAGGACGAGGACGAGGACGAGGACGAGGACGAGGACGAGGACGAGGAGAAGGAGGAGGACGAGGAGGAGGACGAGGAGGACGAGGAGGAGGATGAGTGAGG